GTGGTAGCCAGTTTCCCCAAAATCATTGGAGATAATTGTTGGAGATCCAGGTCCTTGGTTTTAGTAACATCTCTTTACTTTTCTTCCATAGACTCCTGAGGCATGCCGACAGGCCCGAAGCTACCTGGAGTTTTCTGAGGACTCTGTGCAAGTGCCCAGGAACCTGGTTGGTGAGTTTGGGTGTATGTGTAGAAGAGAATAGAATAGAAAGCATAGAAAGCTGGTGCAGCTTTCTATGGGGGTGTTGCTGAGTTGCAGAGTACTTGCCTAGCATGTATGAGGCCCTGGGTTCAATCACAGTGTGGTGGTGGGGAGAAAGTTGAGTGCAGTGACACCTACTTGGGAAGGTGAGGTGGGCTGATCACTTGAGCCAAGAAGTTTGAAACCAGCCAGATTATTAATAGAGTGATTCCCAGTCTCAAGGGGGAAAAAAAAAAGCATTAGGGGCCCAGATATGGGATTCTCATAAGTGTTTATTTCCTTTAAAATAAAAGAAAACAGAAAAAGGCCTAATTACTTCTTTACCCTTTCAGGCAAAGTGATTGGAAAGAATGGGAAAGTGATCCAGGAGATTGTGGATAAATCTGGTGTGGTGAGGGTTCGTGTGGAAGGTGATAATGACAAGAAGAACCCCAGAGAGGAGGTATGTGCAACTAGGCCTAGAGATTGGTTTCCAGAAGTAGGAGGGATTATTTTTTGAGGGTTTGTTATTTGCAGAGGGTGGAACACAAATTTTTGTTTACCCCTAGTGGAATTTGATCTCATTGGGTGGGCTCCCCTGGGAGACCAGGTGGGGTTAATATTTGTGTTCTGCTCTCCTTTCTGATCCATCTTTCCTTCTCTCTGCTCTCCAGGGAATGGTTCCCTTCATATTTGTTGGCACCCGAGAGAATATTAGCAATGCCCAGGCTCTGCTGGAATATCACCTCTCCTACCTGCAGGTAGTTATGCTGAAAGCCCAGGAAAGGAGCAGATTGCGTACAGCAAGGGGCAGGGAAGGAGTTCTGAAGGATAAGCTTCAGAATTGGGGTTCCCCATCTGTCATTTTTCATTCTTAGTACTGGGGATTTAACCTAGGACTAGTCTACCACTGAGACACATCTCAAACCTTTTATAAATTTTTCATTCTGAGACAGGGTCTCACTAGGTTGCTCAGCTGGCCTTGAACTTGGTGATCCTCCTGCTTGGCCTCCCATGTTGCTGGGATTACAGTCATGTGCCACCATATCCAGCTTCCAGCCTTTTTTTATTATTTATTTAAGTACTGGGGATTGATCCCAGGGCACTGTGATCCTAGTCTTTTTTATTTTGACACAGAGTTTTGCTAAGCTCTTGAGACTGACCTTGAACTTGCAATCTTCCTGTCTCAGCCTTCCCAGTTGCTGGGATTACAGGCATGTGTCACTGTCTACAAAGACCCAGTTTGTCTTTGTAGAACAAGAACCATTGGTGGAAATTTTGACTGTGGGGTTAGATTCCCAAATTTTCCTTATTCAGCCAGTATCTTCTTTCTCTTTGCATTCTTGAGAGCTTAGCTATGTAGGAGAAGCATGAAAAAAGGGAATTGTCCACTGATCTGTTTCCTTCTTCCATTTCATCTTCCATCTTCTTCCCAATCAGGAGGTGGAGCAGCTTCGCTTGGAGAGGTTGCAAATTGATGAACAGCTTCGCCAGATTGGGCTGGGCTTTCGCCCTCCTGGGAGTGGACGGGGTGGCAGCAGTGATAAGGCTGGCTATACCACTGACGAGAGCTCCTCCTCCTCTCTGCATACAACAAGAACCTATGGTGGCAGCTATGGGGGCCGGGGCAGAGGCCGCAGGACCGGGGGTCCTGCCTATGGTAAGGCACATGTGGGTCCAGTGGGGAGAGGCAGTGGGCTGGGTAAAAACTTGGAGAAAGTCATGATAAGAGATGATTGGCTGGGGGAGCTTGTGAGGGAGAGGAAGAACTGGATCTTGGGGTGGGATGAATGGCCCTGAATAGATGTCACTGTGTTCTTCAGGCCCCAGCTCAGATCCTTCCACAGCTTCTGAAACTGAATCAGAGAAGAGAGAGGAGCCCAGCCGAGCTGGGCCTGGTGACCGGGATCCCCCAACCCGGGGGGAAGAAAGCCGGAGGCGACCGATTGGGGGCCGGGGTAGGGGACCCCCACCTGCTCCCCGGCCCACCTCAAGATACAACTCTTCATCTATTAGCTCAGGTATCACAGGGTTGGTGTCATGAATGTGGGCCAAAAGGAAAGACAAATTTCACCTGACTCCTCATTCCTTTCCTTTCTCTGACCAGTGCTGAAAGATCCAGATAGTAATCCTTACAGCCTACTGGACACATCAGAACCAGAGCCCCCGGTTGATTCAGAGCCTGGGGAACCACCCCCAGCAAGTGCCAGGCGTCGCCGCTCCCGTCGCCGCCGCACTGATGAAGACAGGACTGTCATGGATGGAGGCTTGGAGTCTGATGGGCCCAACATGACAGAGAATGGCCTGGGTGAGGGGCCTGAGAAGTCAGAGATGGGGTGGAATGAGGGATGGGAGAATGGTTGTATGATTTGTTCTCCTGTACCCCACAGAAGAAGAATCAAGACCCCAACGTCGTAATCGCAGCCGTCGCCGCCGCAACCGTGGTAACCGGACTGATGGGTCTATTAGTGGAGACCGCCAGCCAGGTCAGAAGGCACTGCAGGCCAGTAGCCCTCCTAGAGCATAGAATGGGCACATCCTGCCCTGTGTGAAGATCAGGGTTGGGTTTAGTGGGAATCCTGGGGTTGAATACCCAAGTTCCTTCTGAAACTTGATCTTCTGCCTTTCCCAGTGACTGTGGCTGACTATATCTCACGAGCAGAATCCCAGAGCCGCCAGCGGCCACCATTGGAACGCACTAAACCCTCAGAGGATTCTCTTTCAGGACAGAAGGTAGGCAAGCCAGATGCAGCTTACCCCCACTCTTTTTTATTCTAGAGCCGGGGACACACAAAATTTCCCCCAAAAAAATCTCTTAATGAATTTCTGAGGTGTCTGTGTCTGATGGAGTTTAGGCTGCATTGAGAATAGTGCAGAGTTGGAACAGAACAGACAGAAAAGTATGGCTTGCGATGAGTGAAAAGAGTGAAGATGGGGAACCAGCCCCTGGTGTGTGGAGGGCTTAGTGTGAGGGGATGCCTATACTTGGACTTCTACTGACCATCTGCTTTCCTTTTTGTTCATTTTCTTCCCTACTTCTCCCTCAGGGTGACTCTGTCAGCAAGCTTCCTAAGGGCCCCTCAGAGAATGGGGAGCTCTCTGCCCCCCTGGAGTTGGGTAGTTTGGTGAATGGGGTTTCATAAAACCTCCAGCCTGCATCCCTCCCTTCTCCATCTCGCTTGCTGCCCACCACCATGGCCCTCACTGGCCCAACTGACCTGCGCTGGAGCTGCTCTTATCTAGGGGGGAGGGGGGTGGCACAGCAGCTTGGGTCCCCCCCAACCTCCAGGAGCTAGTGGAGGGGTGTGTAACAGGGTCATACCCCCTCCCTCTTGTCCACCCTACCCCCAGGGTGAGGGGAGCCTCCCCTTCCTCATCAGACTGGATGTGCCTTTATCCTCTAATGCCCCAACCTCTGAACACCCCCATTCTCCGCCTGTTGGTGGGGGTGCTCCTTGACCCACCCAGATTTGACATTTCAGGGGGCTCCCCTGCTATCCCTCCTCCCATCCTGTACCCCCATTTCTGGGGCCTCATCACTGTGGAAGACGGGGATAGTAAGGGTATCTGTGGGTGGGAGGCATGGGGAAGGTTTTGGAGTAGAACCAGGGGTATGTATGAAGGGGGGGTGACAAGGTCCCCCAGAGGGAGGGGGGACCAACCTTGTCTGGTGGATGAGAAGGCGTATTTATTTTTCACTGTACAGTATTTAAAAAGAGAATAAAAAAAAATCCAAACGGCTCTGTCTCCTATGTGTTCCTTGTCCAGAGTTTGGGTTCATTTGATTCTCTAGTACAGACCTGCCTTGGTCCCTGGCTCTTATTCTCTATTCCTTTACAGTTGGTTTCTCATTCCAATTTCTAGCATTCCTAAATTCCCCAGCCCCAAAGTACCCTCCTGGTCCAAGGGGGTGGCTCAGGGTGTTGCTCCCTTCCCCCCTGATAGCTGGTAGAGGGAGTTGGGCCACTCCTGTGTCCTGAGTCACAGTGCGGGCTAGGCAGGGCTGTTCTACTCAGAGCTGGAGCTGTTCCTGTTCCTGCTAGGAGCGGAGAGCCAGGGTAGGCTGCTTAATCGGATTACCTGAGGCCCAGGGCATGGGCTGGGCGCTAGGCAGAGTGGGGAGCCTCTGGAACTTAGGGGTGCAACCCTCCTTGCTAGCTGGTCTTTTGTACTGGCTCCAGCGGGCATACCTCTCAGCTCTTGGGAGCTATCCCGGGTTTCCTTCCCACCCCCAACTTCAACTGGTTTTGAGGATAAAACTTGCTGTAATTCAGTAGTAGTGAAGAAATCTGGGGGCTGGAAATGGGAGGGCTTGAGTTTTCTCACCTGGAGAAAAGAGTTGAATCATCACCCAAGCACCTGCTGGAATGACTCAGGAAACAAAAATGGCCTACCTCCCTTTGACTGCCTGACTTTCTTGCCCCAGGGGCAGGTCAGGGTTTGAGGAGAAATAGGCATCAGAAAAGGGATTTGGGTGGGGAGTGGGACTTCCCAAGTTTCTCTAAGCATAACTCTGACCCTGAGGGTTTCTGATGCCCAGAGCACTTGACTCCATTGTGGAAATGAATTGACTTCAAATTGTCAGTGCTTAAAAAGGGAGGGGAGGTGATTTGTAGAACTGGGGCTGGAAGGCCTGACATCTAGGCCTTGGGTGGGGAGTGGGGTGTGGTGCCCAGAGGGTAGGTATTGGAGCTGGGAAGAAAAGGACACCTGGGTTTGCCTAATGGAGGGGGATGTTGGTACGGCCTCTGGGAGGGATTGGGGAGGAGTCAGCTTTAAAAGCTGTTCCTGAACCTGGCCTGGGAGACATACGGCTGAGTGCAGGTGGGATAGGTCTGCAGCACCTCGGCCTCCTTTGTCTGGTAGCTGACAACTACAGAGCAAAAAGGTTTACTACCTCCACCCTAATACCGGACCTTCATTGCAGAGGGTAAGGGAAAAGGAACTGGGAGGTGGGGGACTTGGAAGCAAAAAGGAAAGTAGAGCAATTCTCCAGTATAAGGGTGCCAAAACCAGTGGATTGTGTGCTTGACTCCCGAAAGTGTGCCAACTTGGGAGCAAAAGCTCCATTTCCAGGACTTCGGAGTGGGGAGTAATATCTATCTCGTTAAAGGATTCGAGTTTCTTCATCACTACTTACGATAGAGAAGACACTTCCATTTAAGCGTCTTACCTTTATGTTGAGAGGGCATTCAAGACACCCTCTCAAGGTTTCCCCTGAACCCATGGCACTGCCCTGCTCTTCACAGGCCCAGGCCTGGAGTCTGGAGCCTCCCGCATGCAAGACCTCTACCATCTCTGCTACCTCCTCGTCCTCGGGACCTCAGGAGCGAGAGGGTGCCAAGAGTCCTTTGGTGTCCGCGAGTCTTCCCTTGGAGAAGGTGAAGCGGCCCATGAATGCGTTCATGGTGTGGAGCTCCGCTCAGCGCCGCCAGATGGCGCAGCAGAACCCCAAGATGCACAACTCTGAGATTTCCAAGCGCCTGGGTGCACAGTGGAAGCTGCTGGGTGAGGACGAGAAGCGGCCCTTCGTGGAGGAGGCCAAGCGGCTGCGCGCCAGACACCTGCGTGACTACCCCGACTATAAGTACCGACCTCGGCGGAAAACCAAAAGTTCTAGCACTGGCAATGCCCACTTCAGTCCTGGAGGCAGTGGCCTGGCCTGTGGGGTCCCACTCTGGGGGCCGGGTTACACAGCCACCCAAGGTAGCAGAGGCTTTGGGTACCAGCCCCCCAACTACTCAACAGCCTACCTGACTGGCAACTACAGGTAAGTGCCTGGGAAGTGGGTTGAAGAGCCTTGCAAACCCCTCTTAGGGCCTGGGTCGGGGCAAATGCCAGAGGGCTCTACTGGAGGAGGCGGTTATCCCAGCAAAGGCCACTCCCCTTAGAAGGCTGTGTGTCTCCTGTGAGTAAAGTGTGGGTGGGAGCGTCCTGGTGGCTGGGGTTTTTGCTGGGGGCCTTATCTATGTCACTTTGGAGGTGGTGGTGGCTTTGCAGGGGCAAGTGACAGACCTTTGGATGTGATGGTGTTATCATTATCAGAATGCCCCATTTCCCCCTGCTTCTGGCCGGTATGTGACCCGGCTTCCTCTCCCAGCCCCCAGGGCAAGGAGAGGCCAAACCTAACCTGCCGCTTCCTGGCCTGCTGCCCCAAAAAAGGAAAACAGCCACACAGCACGCAAACCAGCTTGTGAGCATGCCCCAACAGGGCTGCACTGCTCTATAAGCCATCCTAGGTTCTGGTTCCATGCCTGCTGAACCCAGAGTGGCTGAATGGGTGGCAAGCTCTACCTCTATCTGCTCACAACTGGTCAGACTAGTCCCCACATAAGAGTTAGGGACACTGCCCAGACCCTCCAACCAGGGAAGCAAACTCTAATCCCTGCCCCCCATTTCTCTTTACAGCTCTCCCCATTGTAGACCGGAGACCCCCTCGCCGAGTTCTCTCCCACAGAGTGACCCTAGGCTCCAGGGGGAGCTGCTACCTCCCTATAGCCCCTACCTACCCCCAGGTTCTCCCACTCCATACAATCCTGGTGCCATGCCCCTGACCCACCTGTAACTCGCATGGACACACACCTCCCATAAGGGCTGCATTCTCCTTTCCTCCAATCCAGAACAATCCCCTACCCACAGGCTGTAAACCTTTTCCTGGGTTGGACTACAGTTCAGAGATTTGCAGAAAGCAGAAGCAAAACCACACTTAACACAGTTTTGTATGATTAAACGACTTCTCTGTCTTTATTGTTCCATTTGTGCTCCTCTCACTACAGCAGGAACCAGTGCCATCTCCACTCCCTTCCGCCTGGACCTGCCAGAGCAGGAACCTCCTCACCCCACCCTGGGGCCCTGCCTGAGTCATTCTGTCCCCCTTCCCCCACCCCAGCACTGGGGTCTAAGACGTAGTCCAAGCCAGGCTGGGGGAGGGAAAAGGCCCAGCCAGAAGCCCCTAGTTCCCTTCATCCCACTGTTCAGGTTCTGTCCTCTAGGGCCAGAAGGGAAGAGGGTTGGTGGGAGGGCAGGGCGAGACATTTGCCCCATGAGGAAACAGCTAGAAACTGTTGCTAAAGAAACAATCTCAGCCAATTAAAAAGATGACTGAATAGCACATGTACAAGATTTGGAATGGTACTTTAATATCAAAATGTCAGCATGAGAGACTACCACTGTCCTCTTTTTTCTAAAGATCTGGTTCCCACTACCTGTTTTCACCGAAAACAGACTCTGGCTCAGGAAGTTGCAACTGCAAAGGAATGGAAAATGATTAAAAGTCACATCAACAGACTAGCTCACATGGGGAGAACCCTGAGGTTGGGTGGATGGGTGGAAACACAAAATGACTCCCAACTCAAACAGCTGGCTCAACCCTATTCCTCCTTTTTCTTCTTGTGGGGAGGTTTTGCATTCCAGTAGAAGAGGACCTGGGCAGCAATGAGGCCATTGCAGAGGGAGGAGATCACAAAGATTCCAGCCATGAGAAGGTCTCCGGTTTCCTGGTTGTAAAGGACAGAGAAGGCCACCCTTCAGCATAAATCAAGAAAGGTTCCCCTAAGGACAAAAGCCTCAGGGGGCAACATAAGTCTTCAATGGAGAAGGGTAGATGAGGTTAGAGTGCCCTCTGGAGGGCAGAAAGTGCACTTACCTGAATGGAAGTGAATATTCGGGCCAGGGAACCCCCAAACAGTAGAAAGACTGTGATGGCTGAGAGCTGGCCTGTGTGCCCATTGTGGTAGTTGGTGGCTGCCTGGAGCAGCTAAGAGAGGTAGTCAAGACTGTTGGTTCTGTCACCTGAACTATTTCCCATGTTCCTGTCACTGATTTCTCCATTCCCCTCAGTGTGACACCCCACATTTCTACTCTGCCCTTAACCTGCCCCCTGCCCGCGAAGGCCTTATTCCCAGTACCCACCTTTCCCACCACCACAGCAGGTACATTGGAAGCCTGGAGCAGGGTAATCACTACCAAGGGTGTGAGTGGTGATAGCAGGACCAGCAGGACCAGTGCATAACAGGCTAGGAAAGCTACTCCTGGGGGTGGAGGAAACAAGGAGTCATCATCGACCTCTGTACATCCTTCAGTTTCCCCAGGCTTATAACCAGTAGGGTTCCCAAGAGTTACAGCCTATTCCTGGCAAATTCCCAGCACCTTTCACAGTCTGTCCTCTGTAGTGCATGATCAGGAAGCAGATGGTGATCGTTTGGAGCATCAGGAACAGGGCTTCACCCCAAGAGCTGCAGAGTCAAGAGTTGGGAGGAAGAAAGGAGGGCCTAGAAAGAGGCAGGGAAGACCTCCATGGCCCATCCATCTAGGGACACAATTCTCTGATTACTTTGTCCTCTACAATCCCATCTCATTTGGAATCCTGGGCATTCTTGTGATGCTCACTTTTCTCTCATCACCTCCGTGAGTCATAACTAGATTTTTGGAAGGATTTCAGCCTTTCTACCCCTTTGCCTTCCTCATCTTAACTCCCACTAGAGCTGTGGGCAATTACCCTTAGGGATGAATGATGGACCCCTCACCTGAAGGGGAAGTTGTTGGTGATGCTGTAGACCATGGTCCCAGTCAGTGCCACTAGCTCCAGCATTACTGACTGGAGACTCAGCCCTTCTGCACTCTTGGCTCTCAGGATTTTAAATACCTGGGGCAGCTTTACTGAGGAAAGGATGAGAAGGGCAGAGTTGAGAAGCCTCCACCCCTTGGTAGCATGATACAACAGCTACAGAATGGACTGGGAAGCACAGTTAACCCCACTTCCAGTTAGGGGACCCATGCAGTTTATGACCTTTCAGCACCTCCACCCCAACCTTGACAGCAGTTATGATACATACCAAGAAGTGACCCAGCCACAATGGCCAGCCCAAGGCCTTTGCTGAGAAGAATTTTGAGACAGGGAACTGAGAAAAGAAAAAAAAAGATGCAGAGAAGTCCTCTGGAACTCAAGTCCAAGGAGTGCTCCAGTGGGCTGCCTCCTTCCCCACCCCTCACCTTCACATATCCTATCCACAAAAATAAGTTTGATCTGGAGTTGAGGAGGCAAACAAAAAAGGCAAAGGATTGGAAAATGCTCCAAACCATTTCCTATCTGGACTAGGGACTTTCCAAAACAGCTTCTACCATAACACCTTCCCTCCCACCAGTTTTTCATTCTCTTTCTACAAATTTACAGCTAAACTCCTCAGCTTAATTTCCAAGGATCTCCATTGCTTCTCTCTTTAAAGGCAGGTCTCTATACCCATTCTTCAAGATCTTTTATTTTATGTGGTGCTGAGGATCAAACTCAGTGCCTCATACATGCTAGGAACCTCAGGCCTCTATACCCATTTTTAGTGTAGTTGGACACAATACCTTTATTTTATTTATTTTTATGTGGGGCTGAGGATAGAACCCAGGGCCTCCCATGTGCTAGGTGAGCACTCTCCCCTGAGCAACAACTCCGGCCCCATATACCCACTTATTCTCGAACCCTGATTATTCCTGACCACCCTTCCTAGGCCTCATTTTATGCCCTAGCTATACACAACTTCTCTAGCACTGAAGTCTTCCCCCAGGAGCTTGGTCCAGCGGGATTCATTCATTTGGTGCGGGGATTGAACCCAGGGGCCTTTAGCTACTGAATCACATCCCACAACCTCTTTTAAAATATTTTATTTAGAGTCAGGGTCCCGCTGAGTTGCTTAGGGTCTCGCTAAATTGCTGAGGCTGGCTTGGAACTCGCTATCTTCCTGCCTCAGCCTCCCCAGTCGCTGGAATTACAATCTCACTGATCCTGAGTGCACCTAGCACAATGTCCTGCAAGCACTAGGGAGGTTCCATGAACTGACAGGAGCAGAAAGTTTCCCAGAAGGGAAGGCTGAAAGGAGAGTAACTGGGGTGCCAGGAGCCTTTGGGTGCTGAAGACCTGATTCATCATAAGCTTTGAATTGAGTTAACCCTGCCAATAACCTAATAAAGTTATTTGGTCACATTTTTGTTTTGTAAAATGTAAGTCTTCTCATCTTTCCTTGTCGCTAAAGCACAAGCTTCATAAAGTACTTCTTATGGAGATTCTCCCGATTGCCCAAATATGCGCCTTCCCTCCACAGACTCCCAGACACTTCCGCCCCTTTCAGAAGCGCCTTCCGCCCAACTCGCCGTGGCAGGAGCTACCGCCGTCACTTAGTCGCCAGTCAGGTCCCACCTACGGGTTGGGGTCGCTCGAGCAAGACTTTCACTGGAGACCGAATAAAACTCACCATGAAGCAAGTCCCATTGGACCAAAAGCTGATCGTAGCATTCCTCGGGTAAAAAAATCGGCACCAGCACTCGCTTGAGTAGCCCGTCTGCCTCTGCCGCCATGTTGGAAAACCAGCTTCCGCCAGTCTCCGTAGCCCGCCATTATACAGTGCGCATGCGTGCTCAGGCACTCCGCCTCCACGAAGCTGCACCGCCCCCTATTCCCGGCTCTTTCTCACGGCTTCAGCTTCAGCCGCGTAAAATAGGGCTAGTTCAAAGTCCACGTTTCGGAGTGTTTTAAAGCGTGCGGAAGCTATACGCCTGCGCAGTTAGACCTTCCGCGTCTTTGTTTACGCTTCCAATTTGGAAGCAAGATTTATCACCGCCCCCCACCCCCCGCCGAAGACGCCATCTTGTCTTCTCCCTGCCAACTTTATATTGTTCAAAGTTAACAGGAAAGAAATGATTCTCCAAAATGGCGTTGGGCGGGGCGCTATACCTTGATATTCCCCTTTCTCTTTAGATCTCCACAGGCAATGGCGCCGGCAAGAGCAGGCCAGTCGGAGCCCCATGTTTCTTTAGCCCCATGTTTCTCCGTCTTGTGGGCCGGGTCCCAGGGACCGCTGGGTCCGGAACAATAAAGAGGAAGGAGCATGGGGGCGAGGGGTGGGGGAAGAGCCTAGTTGGGAGAGGGCAACCCCTGAGCCACCACGCGAGGCTCTGAGGTGGCAGCCTTCAGGAAACCTAGCAAGGGACCTCCTTTGGGGTGGTCCGAGGGTGCACTATGTGCTGGGCAAGGATTTCAGCAAGAATGATTGGATCCAGCATCTGTCTGGGAAAAGCGTATATTGGGACTACCCTTGCAGGGGCCCTGCTCTCTGCTACCCAGCACCCGGACGCTGGTTGTTGCAGTTCTTTGCTTACCTACCCCTGGACACAATGACAGGGAATTTTTTCTTACGAGCCACTTGAACTGCTTTGGAAGTGAAATTACAGTCACTTACGCGTTGCTTTGGCTATCTGCTGTACCTGTAATTGTACATGAGGACCAGGAATAAGGCTGCCAGGATGGATGGCTCCACTGGGTTGTAGGCAAGGGTGGGCCAGTGGCCCCAGAATGGAGGAAGTGGTCTGGCAGATTGAATAACTGCTAATGCCAGACTTGGAGAGATGAACCCATGGGCGGGGCATTTGATCACATTGGTATTTTCATCCCTCCTCACCAGCTTTTTTTGGCTCCTTGCAGCTGAACCATGTAAAACACAAAGGCATGTGACAAAAAATTCATGGCTTTTAATCCTGGCAGAACAAGGCAAATGAAGGACAAAGATTTGAGTAGGTTTTACCACTCTCCTACTGGGGAGGAGAAGCCTGTCATGTGTAATGAAACCTTTCTCCCTTCCTTCCTCCTAATTGCATTATCTCTGTTTTTGTTCTTCAAGAAAGACTGGGAAGGAAGATAACTTTGTGAGTTAGTGGCCCGGTGAGGAAATGAGGGTGCTCTCTGGTGCCTTGAAGTCCGGGCAGATGTTCAGAGGGGCTGGTAGGTGGATGGGCGCCTTCGCAAAATGCAGAAGGCAACAAGCACCAGGGTGAGGAGGCCAAGCAGGATCAAACCAATGATGAGAGGCAGGAAGGTGAACTGGTCACTGGGGCAAGAGAAACCTGGTAGAAAAAGATAGGGCAAGTGGGCATTGCAATGAAGGCAGCTGGGATTAAAGGGGAACCGAAATTAAGTATACTGGTGAGAAGCTCATCATAATGACTTGGAGCAGCAAGTAAAAGGGGGAATCAGGCAGAATTTTGAAGAAGGGAGGAGAGCTGCCCAATAGTCATGACAAACCCAGGAGAGGAAGGAAGTCTGGGGTTTAAGAAGGGAGGTTTGGGGCTGGGGATGGTGGTGCATACATGTAATCCCAGAAACAGGGGGGGCTGAGACAGGAGAATCATGAGTACAAAGCCAGCCTCAGCAATGGCAAGATGCTAAGCAACTCAGTGAGATTCTGTCTGTAAATAAAATACAAAATAGGGCTGGATATGTGACTCAGTGGTTGAGTACCCCTTAGTTCAATCCCCAGTACACACCCCCCCGAAAAAAGGGGGGGGGGAGATTGGGCCTGGGGAAGGGGCTTCCAGTTCATGGGGCATATTCTAGGAGGGAAGGAGTAGGTAGGTCTTACTTGGTCCAAAGACCTCTGTATGGGGCAGCTGAGCAGCCTGTAGTCTCAGGGAGAGCAGGTCAAGGTGAAGAGCTGGAGAAAGAATGATGCTTGCATTTCTGCAACTGAAGCTCCGCCCCAGGGGTGCTTGGAGATCTTGAAGGGATGAATTCTGAGCTGAGAATGTCCACTCTGAGGGGTTGAGGAAAGGTCAGGTCCAATCTACTTTCCCAACCATAACTTAGTCTTTTAGGAAGTAGAGGGAGGTTTACTTACGTGCTGCCTGAGGAAAGGACACATTGTACTCCACAGCCATATAATTCAGGTAGACCATGCTCTGGCTCTGCTGCAAGTCCTAGGAGGTGAACAGGAAGGCTCAGGACAGCAGAGGAAGGAGTGAGGCAAGGGGTTGGTAGGGATGGCACGATGGGAGGGTGAGAGAAGGATGAGGATGAACTCATAGAACCATACCTGCTTGAATCCAAAACTGAGCTGTCCGTAGGGAAATGAGAGAAACAGGTGGGGATGGGCTCCCTCACAGCCCCCTTGGACCTTGGTTTTGTTGGGGTTCAGTACAGAGACGCCCCAGGCCTGCGGAAGTTAGAGCAGAGAATCACAAGACTATATGACTCTACCATCTGAGGCTCCCCATCCCCTCTACTTTTCCTTCTTTTCTCTGAACTTGTCTCCTGCTACTTGGCCCTCTCCTCACTGTTTTAGCTTTACCTTTCCTCCACTATGAGTTGGGTACAGGACTCGAATCTGAATCCGAGCTTGGAGCCGGACGCAGGGCTGGGAACCATTAGTCCACATGTAGTCTCCTATAGCTTCCTGGGAGCTTGGGCTAGGACTTGGAGAGGGTGGAGGTGGTCTTGGGTGAGGGGAGCTAGTGAGCCCAGGGCTGGTAGAAGTGCCATTGCTTGTTGTAGGATGAGTTGTGGCATTTCCAGGACTGGTGATGGTGGCAGGATTGTGAGTGGCAGTCGTGTGTCCAGGGCTGGTAGCAGTACTGTTGCTTGTTGGATGAATTGTGGAATTTCCAGGACTGCTGGTGGTGGCAGGATTGTGAGTGGCAGTCGTGTGTCCAGGGCTGGTAGTACTTTTGCTTGTTGGATGAATTGTGGAATTTCCAGGACTGCTGGTGGTGGGTCCTTGAGTGGTTGTAGGGTTTGCTGTGCTTTCTGTAGCTGTAGGTGTCACCGTGAAGGATGGCAGCAGAGTGGCGGATTTTTTGTGAGGACAGTCATTCCCTGTTTCCTGGGCTTTCAGCAAAGAGACTAGTTAACAATCCAGGGGCAGGCTCCTTCCCAGGGACTCCTCCCTTCAGTTTCCCCGTTGTCCTTACCTGCTAGTAGCCCCAACAAAGCCAAGAAAAGTACAGCCAGCCTCATGGCAGAACTGCTTGACCCCAGGTCCAGCTAGGATGTGCCAGCACCAGTTGTTCAACCCTATTCCCTTTGCCTTTTCTTGGAAGAGGAGGAAATGAAAGTCCCTTACTTCCTGTAACTAAGCTGACCCCACCCCCAACCTGACTCAGGCACCTCAGCTCCAGCCACCAATCTTAGTCATTAGTTTTCGAAATCAAGTTAGGGGATTATTGGCTCTTAGTGTAAGTAGGAGGTAACAGGACAAAGTCAAAAGATGTCACGTGAGTAAAGATGGCGCTCTAGTATGTCTCGGGGATCATCTACTATTTGGAGGACTAACCTAGAAGTGGTGGGCCCCTCCCAAACATTTAAGCGGAAAGCAAAAACAGCTTTCACTCCCCTTTCCTCCAGTTACTTCCTCTTAGCTGGGGTCATGTGAGCCACTTGTGACAGTGTACCCAACCCTTTAGAGGGTCACATCATCATGTGTTAACACTATGATTTTCAGTTGAGGAAATAGCTATTTGGCAGCTCTTAATAAGAAGGCAGCATAGTGTATATCAAATAAGGTAAGCATGGTAGGAAAGGGGAGCTGCACCACACCCAAGTTGCAGGTGGGAGAGGGAAGGGAAGAAATGAGAAGCCCAAACAGGCAGTTTCCAAGTCATTTTATTCAGAATTTTGTGTTTGTTTCCTGAATCAATAAATACTATACAAAACAATGTAAAAATGGCTACCATTTTCTCTCCCCTGCTCCTCCCACCTGGGGACAATCCCTTGGGCAACCTCACTTAGGGGTTTTCCACGAAGATTTGGTCCAGCAAATGAGGTTGTGACGTTATAACCCCTTGAATCATTTAGGATTTAAGTGGGGTGGGAGAGCCTCTGGGATTTGGAGGTGACTAGGTTAGGGGCATGGATTAGTGTTTTCTGGGAGGAGACGGCGCCTGGGGCAAGAGCCTACCCCAAAGAAAAGGGTGTCTAAAATGTTCACGGTTCCTTCTTTTGCCTCAAAAAGTGACATTTATTCAAAGAAAAAAAAAAAAGAAAAAAAATGACAAGATGTCCATCCCTTGGCTCCCTTCCCTCCCCCTTCCAGCTGCTCCTTAGCCCCCAGGATTGAACCCTGGCTGGAGCTAGGTAGCAGGACAGCCCCTCTCAGATGAGGTCAGCAACATTAAGGGGCATCTCTTCAATGGAGGTGTTGTAGAAGGTCTCGATGTCTCGGAGAGTCCTCTTGTCTTCTTCTGTCACCATGTTAATAGCCACACCCTTACGGCCAAAACGCCCACCTCGACCAATTCTGGGGAAAAAATAATAATGGGAATGAAAAATAGGCCAAGGAGCACCAAAAGCTTTTAAGCACAAAAAGGCTTAGAAGTCTAGTCTAAGGAGTTAGGACAAATAATCCCAGATCTACACTTACCTGTGGATGTAGTTTTCCCTGTTGGTGGGAAGGTCATAGTTGATGACTAAAGAAACTTGCTGCACATCAATGCCTCTGGCCTATGTCAAGAAAGATGGCAAATTCAGCCTGTGAATTAAGGATATGATCCATCCAGAGGGACTTAAATATGCATGTAGGCAGCCAAAGGAAGGCAAAGAAATCAAGTATCCTCTGTCTCCCACAGACCTCAGGCATGCCAGGTCTTCTTCCAAGTTGCTACTTTCCCGAGAGGCACTAGTTGGCCCCGTGGAGAGGGAATCACCTTGGATTCTCCCCTTTCAGGTCTCTGCATTTCTCTTTACTCACCAGTAAGTCAGTGGTAATCAATACTCTGCTAGAGCCAGACCGGAACTCCCTCATGATCACGTCTCTTTCCTTTTGGTCCATGTCTCCATGCTAGAAATCATACAGAAGGTTCTACATAGCAGGTAGGTAGGTACATGGGTTTTGGGAAAATTAGTATGGCACTGACAACAGAGCTGTCAAGGGGGAAAAACCCACCATGGCAGAGACAGTAAAATCTCGGGCATGCATCTTCTCAGTGAGCCAATCAACCTTCCTTCGGGTGTTGATGAAGATCACTGCCTGGGTAATGGTCAGGGTTTCATACAAGTCACACAGTGTGTCCAGCTTCCACTCCTGTAGGTAGGGAGAGAAATCAGTTAGGGGCTATACCCAACAACTTGCTATCAGGTCCGCCTCCTGCACCGGGCCCCACCTCTCGTTCAACGTTGATGTAGAACTGGCGGATACCCTCCAGGGTCAACTCTTCCTTCTTGACAAGAATTCGAATGGGGTCCCTCATGAACTTCTTGGTCACCTCAAGCACATCGGAAGGCATTGTAGCTGACAACAAAACCACCTAATGAGGGGGGAAAAAGTCAGGGCTAGGGATGGTGAGACCAGATTCTGGTATGGTTCCCCTGCCACATGACACTGGATTTTCTTTATGCCAACCACACTATAATTTCTAGTGTGGTTGGCATAAATATAATTCTAGAAACAGGGGCTGGGGCTGTAGCCCAGTAGTAAAGCACTTGCCTTGGATGTGGGAGGCACTGGGTTCGATCCTCAGCACCACATAAAAAAAACACACAAATAAAGGTATGCTGTCCATTAAAAAAAAAAAATTCTAGAAATAATGACTAGGGCCTTTCTCACCTGGGTATTGCTGTTGAGCTTCTGGAATATGTCGTAGATCTGGTCCTTGAATCCACGGCTTAACATTTCATCAGCTTCATCCAATACAAACATCTTAATGTATTTGGGAGCTAGAGTAGGAAAATACCAAGAGACAGTAATCAGAGAAATACAAAATACAGTTAATTCTTTTGATAAAATAGGGAAGTAGCAGGCAGTCTGCTCTCAGAATACAAGGACTGATCCTTTGCCTGGGACCTCCCTGGAAGCCAGACAGCAGCAGCCCTAGGAAGTAGAACACTACCTGGGCTAAGATGACAGGGAAGCCAGGCTCAGATGACACGCATGGGGTTCATCATAGAGCAACTCATTTAAAAGCAGCAGCAGCAGCATCCTTAGAAATAAGACTTGGCTTAAGGGGAAAGCATGCAGAAAAAGGAACCAGGGGACAGGAACATAGTACTCACACAGGTATCTCCGGTTGAGCATATCAAACACGCGGCCAGGGGTACCCACAATGATATGAGGAGCTTCCATCTGCAACTTTTGCACCTCAGCACGCACATTGGTGCCCCCAATGCATGCATGACAGGAGGCACCCATGTAATCTCCTAATGCCATGACCACCTTTTGTATCTGAACCAGAGAAAAGACAGATATTTACATGTTAGCTCTAATTGTGCCACCCACCCCCCATTTTTCATGAGTTTCATCTTCATTTCTTCTCAACAGCTATTAAATTTTTGGGTGAGAAACAGTTGTTAACCCGCTAAGATCACACTGCTCAATATTACAGAAATAATATTTGAACAGTTTCCTGAGTATATACTGATTCATAACAAAGCATGATTAAGTTTTTAAAGCTGGATGGTTATGACCCTTAACTTTTTTAACTCACAACCCATTGAATCCATCAACAGCCAGCTTTATGAACCACATGACTTCATGATACACTTCTATGGTCTATTGCTAGAAAACCTAAACTAGGTGATATGTTCATTCTTAAGAAAAAAAAAAAAAAACCTAACACCACCAAACATAAAAAAAAATTTTCCCAAACATAAGGGCCTTAGAATTTATTTCTACTCTTACCGTATAATTAAACCCAAAGCCTCTTGCATGCTAGGGAAGTGCTCTATCACTGAGACACATTACCAGCTCTTTTTATATTGAGACAAAGTGTTGCCAAGTCGCCCAAGCTGGCTTTGACCTTGCAATCCTGCCTTGACTTTCTGAGTAGATGGGATTATAGGTTATATGCCAGCATTTACTAATTTCTTGTCTACTTTGTTTGTGCTCATAAGTTCACAGCAAAATAATCACTACATCTGCCAAAGAACATTTCAGAATTTACTCCTTGCACTCCAAGAAAACAGTCCAATTTAGGATCTTATGTGCCCTAGGCATGAAACAGCTCTGGCCACAACACAGGCATCAAGCTAGGATGAACAAAGGACTATCTTCTACTCTGCCCCTGACTGATATAAGAGTAACACCACTAGTGAGGTGTCTCTTTGCCCATTGCCAGGGGGTTTGTTCATAAAATAGGCACCAAACTTGCCCAGCTAGCTAAGCCCCACCCAGCAGCCTTTCTATCTGACTCAGGAAATGGGCGGAGAAGTGGTAGTGTTTGTGTTGGAGGAAGAAGCAACTTATAATTAATCCAACAAATCCTGAGAACTAGAAGCCGTCAATCCATATTCCCTACCCCAGAGCATGGGTCAGAGAATAGAGTTTTGGATTATATTTGCTATCTCTAAACCAGTCCTCCAGAGAGGGCAGGGAAGCCAAAGCCACACTTACCTGCTGAGCCAATTCTCGAGTGGGTGCCAGTACCAAGGCTTGGGTGGCCTTTAGATCTAATTCAATCTGCTGGAGAATTGATATGGCAAATGTAGCTGTTTTCCCAGTCCCAGATTGGGCCTGAGCAATCACATCATAACCTGAATAGACAAATCAGAATTAGATGTGTCAGAAGGCATACAATTTTGGCACATTTAAGACTATCAAGCCCTAGCTTCATGAGATAAGCAACCAACAGTTAATAAGCCAAAAATTAAGTGTTTTGCTAACTTTACTTCTCAAAAATCAGAAGACAAGGTCAAGGTACTAGTTAATTCAGGATTAAACCATTCGAAACTAGACTACAGCTATAAAAACAATCACAACGCAACTGTATGAAAGAAAACGCAGAGTTTGTGTGCCCTAGGCATGAAATAGGAAATGGGCAGGGACCAAAAGTAAAGGTGGGATCAACAAGGGATCATTTTGCTCCATCTAATGAGATGATCACCACCAACTAGACTGATGCCATTCTACCCAGGTCAGGAGCAATCCAATCTATTCTGGGATTGAGAGATCTCACCCTTGATACAAGGAAGAATGGCTCGCTGCTGGATGGCAGAGGGCTTCTCAAAACCATAGGCGTAGATGCCACGGAGGAGGGACTCAGAGAGATTCATGTCATCAAAGCTGTCAACAATCTCATTCCAGTTACTCTGCAGAAAGCAAAGAAATTAAAACTTAAAATAGTGAAATAGATGAGTTTGGAACAATTAGAATCTGGCATCTGCACCTAGACAACTCCCTCTCCCTCTAAGAAAGCCAACTGGTTCTAGATAACTGAGAAATCACTAAAAAGCCAATTGATATAACATCACAACTGTAATAATAAGGCTTGTGGAGAATTCAAAAGACATGTTTTATAATCACCCCCAGAAATGTTAAGTTTCCCTGCAAAGCCTATAAAGGAGTTTTAACTCTACCTTAGAGTGGGGCTTTGCTATTTGTAAGCTAATAAACTTAGATAAATCCCAAGTTCTGGTCTAACCGAAACCCAAGTCCCTACTGGACTACCAGAAACTAGAGCAAACTGCAAGTGGCACTGCCTGTAGAGTAGAAGCAGCAGGTTCGTAGTCTCACCTCGATGACACCTTCGGGCTCCATTCCATCGGGGCCATTGTCTCTGGATCTGTTGATTTAAGGTATGAGTTTTGTCCCCTGCCTGACTGAAGCACTTCAGCAAGCAGCCATGCATGATGCCATCAGCTTTCATTCCAACTCCCACCGGTTCAAGACAATTTAAAAAAAAAAACAACGGACTCGGCCTTTACCCCAGCCCGGCCACCAACATAATGGGCTAGTCCTCCTTTAAGACCCAGAGGGTGGAAGAAGGCTCGTTGCGCTTGCCGTGCCCGGATGTATTCCTTGCCATCGGGCCCACGTGTCCTGGGCCTGGCCGCTCAAAGCCCAAGCGCGTGCACCTCCCTCCGCACCTCCAGCGCGCCGGAAGTCCCGCCCTTCACCTCCTGGATCGGAGGGTAGGACATCCCCTTCTCCCCCACGTCACTCCGCCCGCGCCCTCCCCCACTCCCTCCAGCCGATGCCCCCCCTCGCAATGCCCGGATGTGGGAGGCCGCGGGCGGTGGCGGCCTCGCGCACAATGAGCCCCAGCCGAGCTAGCAAAGGGGGAGATTGCACAACACTTAGAAGCGAAGCAAACTGGGGGAGGGGAACCCCTCAGGCCGCCATGTGCTCGCTCCCTCGACCACCCAGCGGCGTCTCCACCCCCCATGGAACAATCCACATCCCGCCCGCCCCCGTCGCGAAATGGCGTCGCCCTCCCATACCTCAGGCCGCTCACCCCCGAAGGAAAGTGGACCTGCCCATCCGCAGTTTGCCAAATGCCCGGCTTGT